TCCCCCAAATCAAACCTGTGACTATCAGTGTTACTGCAAGACACTCAGGTCACTAGAGCGATAGCCTGCTGCCTCCTGGGTAGGTCTAACATGATAGGTATGTCATAATTCTTAAAGAGAGCATCTTAATAATATAACAACAACTATAATTACTGGGTGTTTGTTATGTATATTTCAGTATGCTTTCTCTCTCTCTGCTTATACAGTGTGTCCGTGTCTATGTGTGCTTATAATTTACTGTCCCTCTCATCTCCTGACCACTGACCAGACTAGTTCAGAAAGTTTGTTGGTGCATACAAAAATCTAATTGTTCAATGCTTTTATGTTCATACTTTCTCAATTTTCATAGGTTTAGACACCCAAAGAACAGCTACTAGTTAAAGTAAAATGAGAAAATATAATTCTGAGAAAAACTAAGTTGTCCTATGCCTTCACAAAACAAATATTTGGCAGCAGCTGTTCTTCAACATGTATTCACATTTTCAAAGCCTATTATAATACCAATATAGAAGCTCCTGAGAATCTCTATTTATCTCAGATCTTTAGCTACTATCTAGTACAAACAGATAAAACATGTATATGTTCCCATAAACCTTAAATAAATTATTGGCCTAAGAAAAAAGCCTCTCTCTCTCTTTCTCTCTCTACCCCCTACTCCTTCTCTTCCTCATTTAGTATTATACCCATATGAATACACATTTGTAAGTCTATATTGTTTCTGGAATTTCCCCCACTAATTGGCAAAGACTTTAAGATGCATATCACAATGGCCCTTAAGAGAGTCTCCAGGGGCGCCTGAGTGGCTCAGTGGGTTAAGCATCTGACTTCAGCTCAGGTCATGATCTTGCAATACATGAGTTCAAGCTCCATCTCAGGCTCTCTGCTGATGGCTCAGAACCTGGAACCTATTTCAGATTCTGTGTCTCCCTCCCTCTCTGCCTCTCTCCCTCTCATGCTCTGTCTCTCAATCTCTCTCAAAAATAAAACATTAAAAAAGACAGAGAGAGAGTCTCTAGGTCATCTTCTTTTGCTAGTCCATAGTACTCTAGTGTGAGTCAAATACATGACTCTCATCTTCAGCATCATCCACTCATCCAGCAGGCAGTGTCTCCCCAAGCTCTGTGCTCTCCTGGGTGAGTCTCCATACTGCGCTAGGCAGGGCCACAGCTCTCACCCAGCGGAGCAGATCACTGAGAGACTGCATCAACTGCAAGGAGACTATGTTCACCTTGGAGAAGACTTGACTTGGTACCCATAAGCCTACTAATGTTATAGAAGAATATCTGACTTGCTCACTTTCATTCAGTGAGAATCAATATCCACAAAAATTCTTCATAGTCTACTTTGCACATAATAAGTGTTCACAATTCTGAAAAAGATTTTAAACTTCCAAGCATGTGACACTTAAATTTGACAGTAATTTTCACTACATATCCAGCATTGCTGTGTCTAATACGCTTGGCATGTTGGCAAGGTAGATTCAAGGGTCACACTGCTGGTGAGGATATAAAAGGATGAAAGCTGCTTTGGCATACAGTTTGGCAAACTTTAAATGTTAAACAGAGTGTTGCCACATGACTCAGCAGTTCCACTCATAGATATATACCCAAAAGAGATAAAACCATACATTCACATAACAATGTGCACACATATTTTAGTAGCATTATTCATAATAGACAAAAAGTGGAAACTGCCCAAATGTCCACCAGCTGATGAATAAACAAAAAGCAGTATACCCATATAACGAAATATTATTTGGCCAGAAAAAGGAATAAAATACTGACCCATGCTCTAGCACAGATGGACATTGGAAACACGCTCAGTGAAAAGAATTTGGTCACTAAAAGCCTCATGATTTTATTTATATGAAATATCCAGAATAGACAAATCTGTAAACATGGAAAGTAGATCAGTGATTTTGAGGGAGGGGATGAGGGGCCATGGAGAGTGAGTGCTAATGGGTACAGAGTTTCTCTGGGGAGTGATAAAAATGTTCTGAAATTAGATAGTGATGATGGTTGCATAACTCTGCTAATGTACTAAACACCAGCAAACTGTATACCATAAAAAGATGAATATTATGATATGTGAATTACAGTCCAATGGAACTATTATTTTGAAAATCTGTTTAAAGGTAAAGTTTATGTCTATATGGAATTAATAAACAATGAATTTTTCAAAGACATGATTTAAAGTAATTTTTTAAATATGCGGTTCCTGTTATAAATCTAACAAGATGACGTTCAAGGACTCTTAAGGAAAACATCAGACAACATTCACATTTCTTATATCAGAGAAGACCTAATATACTGGGAGGTAGTCATTTTTCTAGGACCAAACATTTAAGAGATATCAATTTTGGAGCACGTGGGTGGTTCAGTTGGTTAAGTCATCCAACTCTTGATTTTGGCTCAGGCCATGATCTCATGGTTCATTAGGTTGAGCCTGGGTTGGGCTCCACTCTGTCAGCAGGGAGCCTGCTTGGGATTCTCTCTCTCCCTCTCTCTCTGCTCCTTCCCCACTCATACTCTCTTTTTCTCTCTCAAAATAATTAAATAAACTTAAAAAAAAACAGTTTTTGCTTTAAAAGGGAGTGAAGAAATGGCTTAATCTCACAAAGGCATAATGCAAGAGAATCCATGAAAAAATGCCTCTTAATACAACATTTTTTAAAGGTAAAACTAAACTTGTGATCAGGAAGGAATTAACAAGAAGTTTCTAGATATTGGCATGTTCTCTCACTTGTGTGGCGAATAATAGGGTATTTGCCTTATCACTGCCTGTTGGAATGATGTGCTATATTATTTGTCAACCAGCACATTTTTAAGTATCTCTTCTATGTATGTCATATATACATATACACACATATGCTCAAGTGTTAAGAAATTTAAAGATGAATAAGATCGTGTGTGAAAAGACAACACATAATATCACCATTGCATCATAAAAGGTTTAATGAGAAGTATGTGAGAAGGAATATTCCAAATTATAAGCAGACCAAATTTGATTTGAACCTCCAAAAGGTTACATGTACTAGGTCTGTCCAATAGGGGAACATTTGTGCCTTTCTGCTTTAATTAAAAGCGGAATTTGTAAACCACATAAAATCTTAAGAATTAGAGGAGACTGTAAGCCCTTTTCTTCATTTTTAACTCCACAGGATTTTTTTTTTTTTTTTTGTATGTGTGTTTGGTTCTCGGTATGAAAAATGCAGTACAGTACCTGCCAACACAATTCTTTTTTTTTTTCCTGGATATTTTTAAGTTTTATTTCCAAGGCCCCCAGAGAGATTGCTCTTCACAAACAAAAACCATTTGATTATATAATAGTGATCTAAATATGAAGACATGACTGGGTTTTTTTTTTTTCTTGTTAAATTCATCCCAAAAGATGAACAGAGCTTCTGCCAACCATGGGGACGCTCCTAAGCCATGAATGAATTAGCTGTAGACCATGAGCAGTCAGATCCGTCTCCTGTTTTCCAATAAGCGCCTAGAAGGCAGAGTGTGTGAGTTCCACTAAGCTCCGTTCATTCAACAACCAATTTACTTACCTCTTTGAGCATCTCTCTCAAAGGAGATGGTCATCTACTTCACCAGAGAGAATCTGAGGGAAGACAAATGCCAGATTGCTGACGACACTTCCAGCCCACACGTGAAAAAGCAATGAAAGTGGATGTGTTCGTAGAAGAACACTGTACTTCAACTCCATTCCACTATCCCAAACCACATACACAGCGCAGTCTGGGTGGGAACACATTATTTTACTTTACATCAAAGCCACCAAAAAGAGCCAGAAACACTTTTGAATCCATCCTAACTACTGATGACTGCATCTCCAATAATTTTACATTACTAGTAACAACAAAAGCTCCTCTTCTCACATCCTCTCTGTGCTTAAACAGGCCAACGGCTGTCTGTTGTTTGTTTTTTTAATCAAAAATAAAAGGCTCACTGACACTTTGTAGCACACACTTCTCTGACAACTGTGTGTCAGTGTGTGTGCGCGCGGGCGCGCGTGGGCATGTGTATCAATTCCTAATTTCTGGTTTATCTATTTAGTAACCTCTGCTATTTTCTGGGCTTCATTCCAAGACAACTAAAATGCATTACTAAAATTGGCATCTCTGCTATTGAGCTTAATTTCAGAGGGGCTCTGAAATGGTCTGAAACCATTTTTTTAATATTCTGCACACAACTTTATGCTAAAAAGTAACAAATGTTGGTCAAGACGAGTAATTGATAGGAAAGGTACAGTTTTTGTTTCCTCCAAAACAACTTTTACTTCCTCCAAATATACAATACTGAAAAGAGAGTAAGTGCTGTGCTAAGGCCATATGTTTTTGTTGCCGTGTTGTAAGTACTGCCTGCAAGCTGAACATAATTCCTTAGAGTGAGATCTAAATATTTACATATAAACTATACATTTCTGAACTCTCTTATAAGCATCTTTTTTTTTTTTTTAAGTTTATTTATTTTGAGAGAGACAGAGAGAGCTCAAGCAGGGGAGGAGCACAGAGAGAGGGAGAACCCCACGCAGGTTTGCAGGCGATCAACGGGCAGAGCCTGAGGTGGGGCTTGAACTCATGAAACTGTGGGATCATGACCTGACCCGAAATTGAGCCACCCAGGCACCCCAAGCGTTTTTCTCTCGATTTTGGGTTGGAAAACTGTAAAAGCGCAAGTCATAAATGCATACAAACAAAATGCCAAGATCAAAAAAGATTTTTTTTTAAATCTCACGAAATTATGAATTTAGCAATGTTTGTAACATGTTAAACAGTCACAGAATTATACATTTTTAAGCAGGGAGATATCTGAAATATTATTAAAAGTCCCACAGAATGTGAATTCGGCACTCTAATTTGACAGGTGAGGAAAATGAGGCCCAGAGAGGTGAAGCTAACCACAGCTGTCACTGATAATAAATGGCAAATCACGTCAAAACCCAGATACTCTGACTCTGAAAGAGTATTTGTTTCAATAGAGCTTAATACTTACGGAAATACGTGTTCACAGAGGACATTCCAGGCAGCCCCTCAGCAGAAGGAAGTCTTAGGCTTCACAGCGCCGGCTCGCCTGTTTGCAAACACAAGTTCTAGAAACAGCCCCAGCAACAACCAGTTTCTTAGACAGCCTCACCATACCTGGGGTTTCCGATGATTCCTCAGGTCTATTTTCCTCACCTCTACTAATCCCGTTAAATAAGCGCTTTGGTTGGGATTGGGTTTGTTACTTTGTTTTGGTTTCTTACATCTGCCGGGGGAGAGCGGGAGAAGGCGGAAGAGAGAGGCTGGCATTTAAACCGCCCCTGCGGCACAAGTTTGTTCTCCGGTCGGCCAAACCCGCAAATCCTTCCCGGAGCCCCGGGGCTTACTGGTTTCACGTCGCAGTCCGTTCGGTTTCCAAAGCAGGAAGGAGACCTGGAAAAGAAGTTGGCGGGGTGGCGCGGCCCTTCGGTGGCGCCTGGCAGGTGCCCGCCCACGTGCGGCCGGCAGCCGCCAGCCCCGCGCCCCTCTCCCGCCCAACCCGGGAGCCTCCCGAAGCCCGGGCCGGGGCGCCCGCAGCCCCTGCCGCCCCTCCCACCGCCCCTGAGCGCGGGCCGGCCCCGGACTCCCGCGCGCCCCAGCGTCCCGCTCCTCCGGCGGCCGAGGGCGGGAAAGGTGGCAGTTAGGGGTGGAGGAGAGAGAAGCGGGTCCCACCTCGCCGCCGGCGTCTAACCCACACGGAAGGCAGAGATGGCGGCGGCGAAGCTCCGGCACCTGCGTCGCTCGCGCTCCGCGGGCCGCGGGCTCTGAGGTGGGGCAGCTCCGACCTCCTTGCCCAAGGTGCAGGGCAACTGTCCGGGGAGCGCAGGGCAGCGGAGTGTGGGGAGGAGGGGCTGAGGGGGAGCGCGTGGGGTGGGGAGAAGGAAGGGGAGAGCCCGCGGCCGCCCGCGCGCGCGCGCCTCGCGCCCTGGTCCACAGCTCCGGGGGGCGAGCCGCGGACCCCGGCGCCGAGGGCGGCCGTGCAGGTGAGCGGAGCTGCGAGGAGGAACGTCGCCGCGCGTGGCCGTGGCCCGGGGCGGGAGAAGCGGAGAGCGTGCGAAGGAGGACCCCCTGCCCGAGGGCCTGAGGCGGAGAGGCGAGGCGATCCCCTCAGCGAGGCGGCGCCGCTGCCTCACCCTGCAGTCCGCGGCCGCGCGCCCACCCCAGCGGGGGGCTCTCAGCCTCCAGGCTAGGCACGGGGCTTCCAGCGGGGGTCCTCCCACCCCCAGACTTCCGGGCCTCTGCCGCATCAGGGGCGCAAATGCTACAGCAAAGACGGCAGTAACTGGGGGGAGTGGGAGAGGAAAGCAAATTTGCCAAGACCAGAGGTGGTGAGGTAGCGAGTTTCCTGTCACCAGGTCACCAAGGATGTTCCCGCCAAGCATGTTGGTCATTCCTGTCAGGAAGGCTGAAGAGGGCACTTATGCATCTGTGCGGGGCCGGACTAAATAACCACTTTACTTCTCTTTCAGTCCTGAAATTTAATGGCGTTTGATGTAGCAAGCAGAAAAACCAAGCAAACAAAATCCATCCTTGAACAGAATCCAGCCCCTAAGGAAAAGGCATTTTCTTACTCTCCACTCAAAATGTTCACTCTCTATCTGTTTATTAACACACTTTTATTAAAGACCTACTATGAGTCAGACAACCTATGTACAGTTATTATGTTCTTTGAACTTGGACTAATGACAGACTAGCAAGTGTTCATAAAATTACCAGTTATGAGGGGTGGTATGAAGGAACCCAATGGAAGAGAAAGAAAGAATAAAGAGAAGAGGACATACTCTCGATTGGGTGGATGGTTAAGTTTCAAAGGTCTCTAGAGATGAACTTGCCCAATACCCTTATAGGAAGATGCATCAGAGGCACAGAGAGAAAGAAAGTAGCCCAGACATGGCAGGGCCAGAAGCTCCCTAGCCCAGCCACTTTGTCAACTTGTGAGCTTTGTTGAATAAAACTTGACCCTTGGGAATATCCTCTCAGAACTAGTGGCACTTTTGTGAAGAGCATTTAGATCTCCAGACCACTTGTTAAAGCCATTTCATTCAGAAATTTCCTATTTGTGGGGCACCTAGATGGCTCAGTCAGCTGAATGTCCGACTTTGGCTCAGGTCATGATCTCACAGTTGATGAGTTGGAGCTCTGTACTGACAGCTCAGCGACTGGAGGCTGCTTCAGATTCTCTATCTGTCTGTCTCTGTCCCTTCCCTGCTTGTGCTCTCTCTCTAAAAAAAAATTAACACGAAGGGGGGCCTGGGTGGCTCAGTCAGTTAAGCGTCCGACTTCGGCTCAGGTCATGATCTCACGGTTCATGGGTTTGAGCCCCGCATCGGGCTCTGTGCTGACAGCCAGCTCAGAGCCTAGAGCCTGTTTCGGATTCTGTGTCTCCCTCTCTCTCTGACCCTCCCCTGTTCACGCTGTCTCTCTATCTCAGAAATAAATAAAACATTTAAAAAAAAAAACACGAAAACAATTTTTTTAAAGAAAAGAAATTTCCTATTTGTGCCCTGAAAGGACTTTCTGGGGCACTGTGATTAGAAGCACTAACCTTTGGGTTTTATCAAACCACAAAAAAGAAACAAATGTTTCCATTAGTTAGAGACGATAATTGGAGTAGAAATACTGACTTCCCCAAATTATTGTAAAATGAAACAAGACAACAGAATCCTTAATTAGATCATCCCTATGAACTAGCATATTAGTCTCCTAGGACTGCCTTAACGAATGACCAGACTTAATGCTTAAAACAAAAGAAATTTATTCTCTCGCTGCTCTGAAGGCCAGAAGTCCAAAACCAGGTGTCATCAGGTCTGCAGTCCTTCCCAAAGCTCTAGGAGGGAACTCACTCTTGCCTGGTCCAGCTTCTGGTGGCTTCAGGAATTCATTGGCTTATGGCTGCATCACTCCAATCTCTGCCTCCATCTTCGTATGGCCTTCTCCAAGTCTTCTTCTCCTCTGTCTCCTACAAGGACACTTGTCATCAGATTTTGGGACCATTCACATAATCCAGGATGATCTCAGCTCGGTATCCTTATTTAATTACAACTGCAAAGACCCTTTTTTCTAAATGAAGTCACATTCACAGGCTCTGGGATTTAGAATGTGGACATACTTTTGGGTGGGGGATGGGGGAGCCACCATTCAATGCACTAAAGCTAGTCAACTAAGAGGGACAAAATTCATTGTCTGCTGTGGTATCAAGGTGTCATTTCAACACCATTATACAAAATCATATTGATACTAAGTATAATTTATCATTTTATTGCAAGCTATTAAAAATAAGTATCAAACCTGGGCATTATGTGGAATAACTATCATCAGGAAAAGAAGTACAGAGGCCTAAGCCCAAAATTCATGTTTGAGTCACAGGTGATACTTAAAGGCCAAGCGCGGCTTCTCAGCAGCTACCATTGTTAAGTTAATACAGAAATACCCCCTACATCCATAGGTATGGATTTCTGATAATGTGATCCAATACTGAATGTCTTCTAGGCCCCAGGCTCTGCGTCAGGGGCCCCTATGGAGCTTATATTCTAGGTTAGGGCACAACTTTGAATCTCATTCCCTCTGGCGCAAAGCCTGCTGCATATCTGAAGCCTGATAAAGAGCTGTTGAATGAGTAGATGGGTATAAATAAATCACTACCAATCCGTTAGGCAATTATTACCACACTGAAAAACATCTCTATAATAAGAAGATAGGATTTACCAGAGCAAAACGGATTAACACCCTGACTCATTCTGCATTTTCTTGAGTGAAGGAAAAGTCCTTAAAGGAAACACTTTGATTTGAAAAAGAAAATAATGAGTTATCTATCTTCTTCTTTTTTTAATCAATAATATGCCTATTTACACAGAAACAGATCCTGCTGGGAACAGTCAATCATGACTGAAGTAATAGTTACTTAAAATGGATAAAATATTTTGTCCAAGTATTTGGTTGATAGTTTCAAAAACATAAACATTATTCAACTAGTAATTTCATAATACTGATGCATCACTTCTTGAAACTCTTGCAATGATTTCAGTGACTCCACTCTCTCCTGGTTCACCTCTTCCCTCTCCGACTTCCCCCCTCACTTTTTTCCTCTTATGATTTTAGACAATCAACCAGTATATTAATAAGTACCAAATTTATTCTCATTCTTATGCTTTCTTGGGTCACAGGCCCATCCATGCACCAGTCACAGTGGCCAATAAGCTGGAATATGATGGCCATACAGGCATGAGTCACCTGTGCATTCCTGGAAAACAGGGATTGGGAGGAGAGTTGATCTCATCCTAACCAAATAACTTAAAGTGGGGAAAAGTGGTATCCCAAAATAAAACTAGGGTGCCCTTACTGAAGAGGAAGTCAACAAAAAAGTGTAGATACCCAATACAACAGACATTCAAAAAGGTTTGCTATTAACCGAATGCAGTTTTAGTTAAGACAGCACTTCACCCTTTCTACAGTATGCTGAATGTTTTCTATAAAGTTTTTAAAAATGAACTGATAATTATCACTATTGATTATATGTCTAATTACAACACAAATATTTAACATTTATATTTATAAAAGACTGTGAACAATATTTTTGTCTTGGCATCCAAGACCATAGAGTAAGCATATGGATTCTGGAATCTGATTGCCTGAGTTGGTTTTGTTTTTCGTGCACGTTAATAATGAGTATTTGAATAAGTTCTCTACCCTCTTTCTGTCTCAGTTTCCTTTTTGTAAAATGGAGTTATCATAATTACCCCTCTGAAATGTAATGAAATGCAATGAGATAATAACTATGCCTTTATAATAGGACTTGTTACCTAGTACTCTATTACGTTTATTTATTATTAACCACCTTTATCTTTCACAGCATCCCTAGAAACTATTTTGGGTAGTTATACTCTAAGCATTTGTTTTTCTTTTAATTAATAACCAGTATCTATTATGTATCAGGTACAATTACCAAGATAAACAGCATGGGTCCTTTATACTCTCAAGGAGTCAAGGGAGGATTCCCATAGTTCAACCAGGTTGGTGTAGGGCACTCCATGCAGGGGAATATAGAATGGAAAGAGAGGCACAGAGGAGAAAAGGCATAGTACCTTACACGTCATAAGGTACTACAATCACACTCAGGAGTGTGGCCCTGGGTATGTTTTAAAAAGTATACCTAGTAGACAGAGTCTATTAGGAAGAACTTTGAAGGCCATGTGGATTTTGAAGGTCATTTGGACTTTAACCTCTACACATGATGAAATGTTGAAAACTTTTAGACTCCAGAATTATTTTCAAATTTGTAGGAAGGAAAGCCCATCCTCGGTATGTGAAGTGTGACAGAAAAAGACAAATGAAGAGTCAAGGGTAACAGTTAAGAAACTAGGCAATTTTAGCAGACCAGTGCTTCTCAAACTTTAATGTACACCTTAATCAAATGAGGGTTATTTAAAACATAAATTCTGATTCAGTAGTGCTGGGGTGGGGCCCTGGAGTCTGCATGTCTAATAAGCTCCCAGGTGACCAGGTGCTGGTCCCCAGCAAGACAATAGACTATTTAAACACCACCAATGCTGTTTCCAACAAAAAGAAATTTATATCTCATGTACATCAAACTTTCAAGTCCTCATGGAGAAATAATTTGCAGCTCATAGAGTTGTCACTACTAATTGAAGAACTATTGTGTACCACAAGCCAATAAGATAGAAATATTTTATCTTGATTCTTAAGATATCTCTGAGAAGAAATCCCTTTAAAGTCTGAACATCCAAATGAAAATTACTAGGTTGTGTGTGTGAGGAGG